GAGCAACTGCTTGTTAGATGGTATCAGGTTAGTCCGTTGTTTGTTTTTGAAGTATTTATTATTGGTTCATTCATTTGTTCATTTTTGTTTCAGTTCGAAAATTGGATTTCCTCTCTTGTTCAACTGATCATTTATTCAGTGTATTGAATTCATTTTTTTCTTCGTAGTTCGAAGGCAGATTGGCGATTAGGACTGTCATGTTTTAATCTTCCCAGTCAAATCTCAGTGCATCTTGTATCATGCGCCACCAGTCATTTGATGAGCATTGTTCCTGTCACGTTCCCACGCAAAAAATATCAAAATGAAATTAATGCAGTAATGATAATGTAATTTGCAGGCTGGTGCTTACCAACCGTTCTTCAGAGCCCACGCTCATATCGACTGTAAACGACGTGAACCGTGGCTGTTCTCCGAGAAAACTACAGCTCTTATTCGTGATGCTATCAGGCAGCGATACTCCTTCTTACCATATTGGTCAGTTTTGCTTATTTCAGTTTTGTTTTGTTTCATCTTGCACTTATGAATTTCGAATTGATTTGTGTGAATGAATGATACCAGCAAGGATAGTAGTGGAATTTTCTGGCATGAGGAGTATTTGATTTTGCAAGGAACCATAAGGTCTATAGAGATCATAATTCATGTGATTCGAATAAGCCGTCCGTCCATATGAACAATTAGGTAGTCAAATATGCTGCGTTTATCACTCGTCTTGTCCATGGCGTGCGATTGCTTTCTAAGTTTTCAGGTATACACTGTTCTACGAGCACATGCTGACCGGTAAACCTGTGATGCGACCACTTTGGGCGGAATTTCCGGATGATGAGAACGCACTTGATGAAGAGCGTGAGTGGTTGGTTGGGCCTGCACTGCTGGTCAGACCCGTGATGGAACCAGATGTCACAACGATATCGCTCTATCTGCCTGGTCGTCGTAATGTGATGTGGTACGATTGGGCTACAAATAAAGTTGGTTTACTGTTTTTCTTTCATGATGAGGTCTAGTTTACTTCAGGCAGACAAATTTCATTTCGACTTCAATTGCCACAACAAGCAATGAGCTGGATGTTACTTTTGGCTCAGTGGTGATTCGTCAACAAAAATCATTGTGGCATTGAATGCTGATGGCTTTATGAGTGTTAGAATTATCAGGAGAGAACGAAGTTGAACACGATAAACTTTTCAGCCAAAACCAGCTCCTGGAGCAGTCTATGTGAATGGTTCAATGGAATCAGTGCCGCGTCTCCAACGCGGTGGTACAATCATACCGGTACGAGAACGTATTCGTCGTGCATCAACCCTGATGCGTAACGATCCAATCACCCTATACATAGCTGCCAGCTATAATAAGGTTCTTTTTTCTTCGATTGAATTATTGGAAAGCATGATTGCTCTTCGATAATGATTTGTAGTTAGCGAAAATATTTCTTCATCTCTTACGATTAGAGTTTCAAAAAATTTTTTATTCATTGTCAGATATTGAGAAAGTTAGCGAAAGTTTTTGAGCTAGTTTTTAGGGAAATCAAAGAGAGTTTGAAATTGATGAGGTGACGAAACCCGTGCTGAAATCTTTTGACAAGCATAAATCTAATCGTTGATTTTGAAGGACAATTTGGCGAATGGAACAATTTACATGGATGATGGTGAGACATTCAACTACAAGAAAGGAGAATATTTATATTGGGCATTTATCTACAAGAAAGTGAGTGATCAACTTTATACGATAACAGCGAAAAACTTGGATAAGAACGGAAAATTGGAGACTGATGTTCTGATTGAGAAAATTGTTATTCGCGGTGTGCGTTATTTCCCGATGAATGTACACATTTACTTGGACGGTTGGTTGATTTATTGGTTGTTGTTGTTTTTGTGATTATTCATTGTTGATCAGATTCAATTTTCATTTATACATTTGGTACATATCATCATTGTTTTTCGTTGTTTAGATGAGTGATTTGATTTTGGAAGGGGAACAAGCAAAAAGCTCGAAGTATATGTTGCTAACGTCTCAGATGTGCTTGAAACACAGAAGTATTGAAGTGAATAATCAGATGAATGGTGGGAGAAGGAAGGGGACAGGGAAAGTACGCACATAAAACTGTTTGCTTGGATAAACGAACGATTTTGAATGATAACTGTGATCGAATTTAAACGTTTGTTTTAG